TTCATAAAGTTTTATACTCATTTATTATAATAAATAGATAAAAGCATGGTTAACCATTTATGTTTAGTATTCATTAAAACACCTTGACAGCAAAAATGCTATAATCAAATACAATTGACAAACTTTTAGTATAAAAACACTAAAGAAAACTGATTTTTTACATTAATACTTTTTTTTGCACAATGGCATGTGTCAACAAAACAACTCTGTTATAGCCCCTCTTCATGTTTGGACAAAGAAGAAAAACATTCTTAAGAATATTATTTACAAAACACGAAAACAAATCATGATTGAAATTTAATATTATAACAAAAGAAATTAAAATAGTAAAAAAATACAAACACCAAATGAATAAAAATAAATCCTATCAATTTATAGAAAAACAACAAAAAACACTAAACAAAAGAACATAAACATTGTTGTAAACAACAACATTAAAATTAAACAATAAAATAAGAAATAACACTCCCACATTAACAACTCTGGCGACATGTAAGAAATGTCAAGACAAATTTATCAAAACATTTCTTTAATAGAAAAACTGTTAAACTAACATAAACAATAAATAAATCAATTTCTTTATTATTGAACTTAAATTTACCCTGCAGTTCGGGGGTCTAATGATTTTACTTATCATTTACGGTTAGATCTGATTTAATAGAGTTAACTATTTATGTTCTATTTCTTCCCTGCTCAGACTATATTCACTCTTCACTTTGATAGGCTCCTTCACAAAAATACTTCTCCTATGATTACTTCAATAAAGTGAGAGTTGACTGACTTCTAAAATGACGATTGGAATGATACTAAAAAGGATACAAAACCTTCTAAAACTGTTAGGTAAACTTTAAACAAGTACATATAAAACATATGTATATAAAAATTCATAAAATGTCTATTTATGTGTGCGGTTAATTCTGAAAATGTGCTAAATAACTTGGAACGAACATCAAATATGAAATACAGAAGTAAAAGACGTAGTATAACTCTTTTCATCTGGTAAAAAGGCACGTTCATGGATTTGTGTATTGTATTGGGAATACATGGGTTATTGAACAAATAAGTAACAGTATGAATATGAAATATTATTAAAATCATACATATATGTAAACATGTACTACACTACAAAAAAACTATATTGTAGCTCCTACCGTCGATTAAGCAATGTCCAAGAAATTCATATTTTAGTCTGGACTATAGACCATTCTATAGTCTGAACTAATTACTATTCTATATTCTGAACTATAGACTATTCTATATTCTGGACTATAGACTATTCTATAGTCTGGACTATAAAATATTCTATATTCTGGACTATAGACTATTCTATAGTCTGGACTATAGACCATTCTAGAGTCCGGACTATAGACTATTCTATAGCCTGGACTATAGACTATTCTATAGCCTGGACTATAGACTATTCTATAGCCTGGACTATAGACTATTCTATAGTCTGGACTATAGACTATTCTATAGTCTGGACTATAGACTATTCTATAGTCTGGACTATAGACTATTCTATAGTCTGGACTATAGACTATTCTATAGTCTGGACTATAGACTATTCTATAGTCTGGACTATAGTCTATTCTATAGTCTGGACTATAGTCTATTCTATAGACTATTCTATAGCCTGGACTATAGACTATTCTATAGCCTGTACTATAGACTATTCTATAGATTAGTCTATAGTCTGGACTATAGACTATTCTATAGTCTGCAGCATAGAGTAGTCAATAGTCTGGACTATTGACTATTCTATAGACTAGCCTATAGTCTGGACTATAGACTATATAGTGCAGTCTCCATTGTGACTATTCGATAGTATAGTCTATAGTCTGGAATAGTCTATAGCCTGGACAATCGACTGTTCTATAGTGGATAGTCCAGACTATAGAACAGTCTATTGTCCAGGCTATAGACCAGACTATAGAATAGTCTAGTTATAATCCAGGCTATAGAATAGTCTATAGTATAGACTATAGACTAGACTATTGAATAGTCTATAGTACTGAATATAGGCTATAGACTAGACTATAGTCTGTAGAACAGTCTATTGTCCAGTCTATAAACTAGACTATAGAATAGTATAGTTATAATCTAGGCTATAGAATAGTCGATAGTTCAGACTATAGACTAGAATATAGAATAGTCTATAGTACAGACTATAGACTAGACTATTGAATTGTCTATAGTACTGACTATAGACTAGACTATAGAATAGTCTGTAGTATACACTATAGAAGAGTCTATAGTCCAGACTATACACTAGACTATAGAATAGTCAATAGTTCAGACTATAAAATAGTCTATAGTCTAGGCAATATACGAGGCTATATTATAGTCTATAGTCCAGGCTATAGACTAGATAATAGAATAGTCCAGGTAATAGAATAGTCGATAGTTCAGACTATAGACCAGACTTTAGAATAGTATATAGTCCAGACTGTATACTAGACTATAGAATATTCTGTAGTTCTGACTATATAATAGTCTATAGTCCAGACTATTAACTAGACTATAAAAAAGTCTATTGTCCAGACTAAAGACTAGACTATAGTCCGAACTATTGGAACTTTACGGACCAAACACTAGCGCAGTTAAAAGAGTACGCTATATATATAGTCAATACTGTAGACAAGGATATTGTATTGACTATAAACTATACTGTAGTTCAGACAATAGACTAAACTATAGACTTTGCCTAGACTAGACTTTATTCCAGACTATAGTCCAGATCATAGACTACATTATATGTGTACATATATATGAGTATAGTCAAGACTATAGACAAGGATATAGTCCGGACTATAGTGCAGACTATTGACTAGACGGTAGTTCAGACTATAGTCTAAAAATCGGTTATTGATGAAAAATGTAATATACATTTTCTCTAAGTGTTAATGGTTTTCAACATAACAAGCATAAACATTTTTGCAAAATATGCTATATGTATGGCTTTTTATTGAATGTACTATTGACCGCCTAAGATGCTACTGATAATGACTACCATGTAGTTTTTATCTTTATATTGTGATTTTTTACTCTTTCAATAAAATGTTTATTTCATGTTGATATTTTTTTTTTATTTAAGTCAATGCATAAATATGACTATAAAATAATGCATAAAATTTAAGAAACTACAAAAAATATAAAAAAAAAAACTAAAAATATTTGTATGCCCCAAAAGTAGCATAAAGTTGCAACAAAAACAAGTTGCAATATATAAACAGAATAAAAATAAAATGCCGCATACTATTTATTGTACGTGTTTAGCATTTCAAAAATTATATAAAAATATTTTTCTTTTTGCTCTTTATTGCAGAATTATTTATAAACTTTGAACATTTAAAGATTCAAAGAAAAAATGAAAAAAAAAATGTTTGTATAAATTTATAAAATAATATTTATTAAATTTCTAACCAGAAAAGGAAGTCAGACTCTATAACAGAGGCTTTGGTGGGTTTTTTTTTTCATGGAAAAAATAATGTTGCTACTTGTGCCACAAAATAAAATAAAAAACAACTATAAGTAAATTAAATACAATAAATTCTGCAACATTTGCAACATATGTTTGTTTGAATCTTTTTTCGATTTATATGAACATTGTACATGAATATATAGTAAGTAGTTTTATATGGTTATATACATACATACATACATTATGTACATACGATTTCGCACATATGTACATAAATATTTTATAAGAATTGACCACCAAACAGCTGCCTAACGAAAAATTCTTTACATTTGCGGATTTTTCTATGAATGTATACACAATTGTACGAATCTGTATGTAGTAAAAGGACTTTATCCTTTATTTTAAAAACGGAAGAATCACAGACTATAAATAAACTGTATTACTTTATACACATAGAGCAAATATATTTTTTAGGGATTATTAGTTGCTAGTTTTTATTAAAATATTATAAAAAAAAGTAAGTAAACACATATAGTCCGTCACACTCTTCTATATGATACCCTACACTTAGAAATTAGATTTCATTATTATAAACATTTTGTTGTAAAATTTTATCTCTAAATCGGTTCTTATTCCAAAATTTATATTACAAATATATAAAAGCAAAAAGTTCCAAAAAGACCCTAATAGATTTTCAGGTCCTCAGCACACTCATATAGATATTTTCAAAAATTAAATTATAACAATCGGCGCAGAATCACTTTCGGTGTCGATAAGCTATGCCCGTCCGTCTGTCCGTTCTTTCATCCGTCCGTCTGTGTGTACATGTAAACCTTGTGCGCACGCTACATTTCGCTATTTTCAAGATACATTAGGCATGTACCTACTCTTCTCTCCATCCAAGGACCAAGACAATTGATCGGTCTTATACATATATCACCTAACTGCTTTTGAGCTCTTAATAATGTTAAATATTCTAGTATCTCCACAAAACTTAGTTCTAAAAAAGGTTAAATGATACCGCCAAATTTTTGTATTAACATTTAGAAATTAAAAAGTAGGATCAATTCTTTTGTGAAAAGTACCATTTAAAAAATATACTCTGAAGTATATTACAGAAAATCTTTTGCAAATTAGCTTTGAATTGAATTATCATTATAATGACATAATGAAACTTAGTTATAGAGAATTTTATCACAATACTAACATTAATATTGAATTTTTTTATTATTCTCCGGTACTAAAAACTAGTGTTCTTTCCGCTTTATTAAATGATCAGAATTTACCCAACACCTGACTTTAAGCGAAAAAGAACTTAAATCCCTTTTTAATTTAATTGCAGTAACGACTGCTGCCAACACATAGTATTTAGTTTCTAACACCAAATAATTATTTATACTAAATGTATAATATTTCAAGGATATCTAATAATAGAGAACAGAGATTCTTATATTCACTTTGTACACAATACAATAAACATTAATTAACTAATTACAAACACATTATTAAAATAATTACAATCTTTTCTTTTTACCCCATTTTCTTTTCATTAATCTCCATTTTACTGGTCTAAACACAGTTCACTCTGCCTTTTAAGTCTCACACACCGTGTTCAGTGTGAAAAGACGGAAAATTCAGCTGTTTCAGCAGCAACGGCAGAGCGAAATAATAAAAAGGATATAAAATTCACAGCAGCCGCACAATCAACCATTTATAAAATTAAAAGACTGAATCCATCAAAGGATAAACAAAACTTGCATAAACAACGAATAGAAGAGCAACAACAGCAGCACTTGCAACAGCTACAACAAGGACAAACGTCAAGACAACAGGATGTCATGCATCATCAGGAATACAAGGGAAATAAGAAACATACAGAAAGCGGCGGCGTTGGCGGCGTCGATGTGACTAAGTTAAATAAACATCGCACAAAAAAATTTCGCAAATCGGGAAAAAATGCTCATGGTTTAAATAGAAAATTATTAAAGTGAGTATAAACATTTTAGTTTAAGTAATCATACTCTAATACAAAAATAATTAAGTTCAGTTCTAGTACAATCCTAGTTCAGTTCTAGTTCAGTTCTAGTACAATCCTAGTTCAGTTCTAGTTCAGTTCTAGTACAATCCTAGTTCAGTTCTAGTTCAGTTCTAGTTCAGTTCTAGTTCAGTTCTAGTTCAGTTCTAGTTCAGTTCTAGTTCAGTTCTAGTTCAGTTCTAGTTCAGTTCTAGTTCAGTTCTAGTTCAGTTCTAGTTCAGTTCTAGTTCAGTTCTAGTTCAGTTCTAGTTCAGTTCTAGTTCAGTTCTAGTTCAGTTCTAGTTCAGTTCTAGTTCAGTTCTAGTTCAGTTCTAGTTCAGTTCTAGTTCAGTTCTAGTTCAGTTCTAGTTCAGTTCTAGTTCAGTTCTAGTTCAGTTCTAGTTCAGTTCTAGTTCAGTTCTAGTTCAGTTCTAGTTCAGTTCTAGTTCAGTTCTAGTTCAGTTCTAGTTCAGTTCTAGTTCAGTTCTAGTTCAGTTCTAGTTCAGTTCTAGTTCAGTTCTAGTTCAGTTCTAGTTCAGTTCTAGTTCAGTTCAGTTCTAGTTCAGTTCTAGTTCAGTTCTAGTTCAGTTCTAGTCTAGTTCAGTTCTAGTTCAGTTCTAGTTCAGTTCTAGTCTAGTTCAGTTCTAGTTCAGTTCTAGTTCAGTTCTAGTTCAGTTCTAGTTCAGTTCAGTTCTAGTTCAGTTCAGTTCTAGTTCAGTTCTAGTTCAGTTCTAGTTCAGTTCAGTTCTAGTTCAGTTCTAGTTCAGTTCTAATTCAGTTCTAGTTCAGTTCAGTTCAGTTCAGTTCTAGTTCAGTTCTAGTTCAGTTCTAGTTCAGTTCTAGTTCAGTTCTAGTTCAGTTCTAGTTCAGTTCTAGTTCAGTTCTAGTTCAGTTCTAGTTCAGTTCTAGTTCAGTTCTAGTTCAGTTCTAGTTCAGTTCTAGTTCAGTTCTAGTTCAGTTCTAGTTCAGTTCTAGTTCAGTTCTAGTTCAGTTCTAGTTCAGTTCTAGTTCAGTTCTAGTCCAGTTCTAGTCCAGTTCTAGTCCAGTTCTAGTTCAGTTCTAGTTCAGTTCTAGTTCAGTTCTAGTTCAGTTCTAGTTCAGTTCTAGTTCAGTTCTAGTTCAGTTCTAGTTCAGTTCTAGTTCAGTTCTAGTTCAGTCCTAGTTCAGTTCTAGTTCAGTTCTAGTTCAGTTCTAGTTCAGTTCTAGTTCAGTTCTAGTTCAGTTCTAGTTCAGTTCTAGTTCAGTTCTAGTTCAGTTTTAGTCCAGTACTACTTCAGCTCTAGTTCTTATTCGGTTAATATAACCAAGATATGCCCCACTATTAATTTATTATTTATATGAACCAAGTATCCACAGACTTAACATCTGTTAAATTTTCTGTGCAATTTAAAATGTTAGCATCAGCAGAAATATTTTTTGTTAAAACATGAAATGACATAAGCGAGCATTTTCTGACATATTTGCAATTTCGCTGATTAGAATGATGTAATAGTGGTAATGGCCAGTTGAGATAACAACAACTGAGAGAAGGCCACGTTTTCGTGCCTCATTATGCTGCAAAAATGTATAAAATTCTTTTTACTTATTTTTTCCAATTTTTCGTATAATGAATCCAACTAATTTATGGCGAAGTAGTTGGAAGTGAAAAAATAAGATTTAGGTGTATGCTTAAAAACACACTTTGCTTTTAATTCTCTAGTTTAAAGGCAGCACGAGTAAGAACTAACTAAAAAAAAACGTTTTCCAATTAAATACAATGACTTTTTTCTATAAAGGCTAGACGTAGTTAAAAAGTCAGCATATAATTTATGTTGGAAATTCATCATTTTTTGTGTAAAAGTTATTGCTTTTAAAACAAGATTTTACTTGTTTAACTAAAATAACTAAACAACATTTTAGTTGTACATAGTAGTTGTAAGTTTTTCTTAACAAATATTTAATTTTTCTCACTACATACATACATATTTATGTACATTTATATTTGTGTATTTTTTTTTACAGCAAATTGGGTTTTACTAAAGTCAAGGCACCCAACAGTCATAACCGGAAACGTTTGGCCATCGAATCACGACGTCATGCTTCACCAGATGATTCACACATGTTTATTATAAAATTACCGCCAAATATGTATTATTACACCAATCCTAAACCATCTACGTCTGGCACTGCAACAGTCTCATCATCCTCATCGGCATCATCTCCAAATTCTATTGCCTCATCGGTGGATAAAAAAAATTCTTTAGTACCTCATGTACTTAAGGATGATACAAGTTCAACTAAGGATGCTAACGGAAAAAAGGTAAACAAGTTTTTTGTTGTATTTAATAAGCATTTTTCATGTTCTTTATATAGGTACTCTTAGAGGGAAAAACTTTAGACGCATGTTGTAAAATTTGTAAAAACATTTCTTAATGTACAGACTCTGACGAAATTTATGAACTCCCCTATAATGAACTACATATGTAATTGAATTTGAGCACATCGGGGTAGCGGATGATTATTTCACATAGTTCCTATAGAAATGTCCCATCGAAAAGAAACATTAGAGATAATTTCTGATAATCCCCACTTCAAATTTTACAAAAAAAAAAAAACTTTAACTCGATTCATATTTTTGGTTCCTGAAATTAAGGATTTGAACTACAAGACTCTAATTCAGTTTTATTTCAGTTCTAGTTCAGTTCTAACTCAGTTCTAGTTCAGTTCTAGTTCAGTTCTAGTTCAGTTCTAGTTCAGTTCTAGTTCAGTTCTAATTCAGTTCTAGTTCAGTTCTAGTTCAGTTCTAGTTCAGTTCTAGTTCAGCTCTAGTTCAGTTCTAGTTCAGTTCTAGTTCAGTTCTAGTTCAGTTCTAGTTCAGTTCTAGTTCAGTTCTAGTTCAGTTCTAGTTCAGTTCTAGTTCTAGTTCAGTTCTAGTTCAGTTCTAGTTCAGTTCTAGTTCAGTTCTAGTTCAGTTCTAGTTCAGTTCTAGTTCAGTTCTAGTTCAGTTCTAGTTCAGTTCTAGTTCAGTTCTAGTTCAGTTCTAGTTCAGTTCTAGCTAGTTCAGTTCTAGTTCAGTTCTAGTTCAGTTCTAGTTCAGTTCTAGATTCAGTTCTAGTTCAGTTCTAGTTCAGTTCTAGTTCAGTTCTAGTTCAGTTCTAGTTCGTTCTAGTTCAGTTCTAGTTCAGTTCTAGTTCAGTTCTAGTTCAGTTCTAGTTCAGTTCTAGTTCAGTTCTAGTTCAGTTCTAGTTCAGTTCTAGTTCAGTTCTAGTTCAGTTCTAGTTCAGTTTCTAGTTCAGTTCTAGTTCAGTTCTAGTTCAGTTCTAGTTCAGTTCTAGTTCTTCTAGTTCAGTTCTAGTTCAGTTCTAGTTCAGTTCTAGTTCAGTTCTAGTTCAGTTCTAGTTCAGTTCTAGTTGTCCTAGTTCAGTTCTAGTTCAGTTCTAGTTCAGTTCTAGTTCAGTTCTAGTTCAATTCTAGTTCAGTTCTAGTTCAATTCAGCAATCTAGCTCCTACCATATGGGCCCTATCTTAGTTACAACATACAGGATTATATGGCGAGATCATCTTAGAATCTAATAAGGATCCCCAATATACAATGGGTCAGGATCAATATTTCGATTTAGGTATAACAATTCTGCTCTATTCTAGTTAAGTTCAAAGAAACAAAGAAATATTTATGAAAAATATTAGCCCTCTAGCTCATCCCATATGGGCGCTATCTTGGTTTCAGCATAGAAACTAATAATGATCCATAATATACAAAAGGGTCAACTAAATTTAATTCGACTCCAAATGAAAAATGTTAAACAGATATTGTGATTTTGAAATACTTTAAAATTTAAAAATAATGGCCAAAAATTGCTAGTACGACTAAATATACTCCACCAACATTTAATCACCCACCGAAAAATTACTTCCAGAAATTTCTTAAATATCACAAGAATAAAAAAAATAAATTAAAACGCATATTATGCCTGTATTTTGTAATAGTGCCTGCGCATCAAGTTTTAAGATAAACATCAGACCAGTTCAATAGAGGTATATTTTTTCTCAAACTCACAAAAAAAAAATGAACGAAAAAAAGTGTGCTGATGCTGCTCTCACCATCAACAAATTGCAAACACACGTTTCTTATGTTGCAAAATGTTTGTTCATGCCACTCACTCATTCGTACTACGGTATCGTACGTATCCGTATTGTATATAGTATCTCTATTGAAGTTTCATTATCTTGAACATCAGTAACACCATCAGCAACCTCATCATTGTCATCATTATTATCATCGACTGACTACACTTCGATTACAAATTTCGATTTGTTTCTTCTTTTAGTTTTTGTATTTTTTAAACCTTCTTCTTAACTCGTGAGAAGATGAGAGAGACTGCATGAATGAACGAATAAATGGATGAATGTCGGTAGAATATTTTTTTTTTCGATTTGAACGTGGGACTGGCATATTTTCCATCGATTGTTTTACGCGTTTGAAATAAGTAACAAAACGTTATGATCATGTTGTTGAAGTGCATTTAAAAGATGTGAGTTGAATTTTTATATGATACATTAAAAATATTTTGTTTGCTACACAAGAAAATAATATGGCTCTATGCTGTTTGGAGTCAGAATATTCTGCAGAAATAAAAAGTCAGTACTATTGTACTTTGCTTATGAAAAGTTCTTATAAGTACTTGAGTGGAGTACCTGAATTAGACTGATAAAGTTGTAGTTTCCATTTAGCGGTATATGTCTAAATCAATTTTTCGGAGGCTTAGCTTATGAAATCTAATCTCGGTTCAATTTTAAGATCTTTTTTCATCTAATATTTTTATATACTTAACCCTTAACTAAATTTTGGACAGTTCCACCTTAACATTAAAAGTACAAATTTGCAAATATTTGGATTTATAAGAATATAATTTGTTTTATCTTTAAAATATAATTCCAAGAGGTATAAGAGATTTTAATTGACATATATGCACCTAAGCACTAAACTAGTCCACATTTCTTTTCGGTCAGTATTCCACGCCAATACGTATAAACGGATCGTTTCATGGGTTCATGTGTTTAATGATCACAATAATCAATATATTTAAGGTTTTTTTAACTGAAATCCGGGGGCCACTTATAGGCTCGGTGAATATCAACTGAAATAATTTTCAATTCTGATAAATTTACGCCGTCTAGCTCCTCTCGTTTAGGCCCTATCGTGTGAACATCAGACATACGGACGTGGCTAGATAGTCATAGAATCTAATATGGGTCTACTATGTATCAACATTTCGATATATTGCAAACGTTGTAAAATAACAAAACAATTAATTAATACAAATAAGATAAAATGTTAAATTAATAAACAAAAACCAAAGGGATTAAGCCCCAATTGCATTAAGATTATTATATATCTAGTTTAGCGGATTATTGTCGCTATAAATTTTAAAAAGAATACTCAAGTGTAATAAAGTAATTATACGATAATGAAATGTACTACTGCTATTTAATACAAATTATCTTCAACAACAATATTATACGAGTCCGATAATAGAGCCATAATGATTTTACTAATAGTGACAACATGTTGCACAGAATGACAAAGAATGCATTCGTATGGAGTCAATCCTCTAACTGTTAGAATAGAGGAATATATATACCAGTAATATATCAGACTCGGCACAATTGCAATAACAACCAAGAAAATTGATCCATGAATGGCTGAGCTTTAGCTGTACCCTAATCCTGGATAATCTGCAGACCAGAGATACAAGCCGATGGGAAATGAACGGCGGCGGCGGCGCAACCATTTTGGGTCGGCGGCGGCGGCTTATTACAGAAAATATCGGCGGCGGCTAAATTGTCGGCTCAATTTAATATTTTCTTTAGAAATTGACCTTATAAGGTTTATTATATTGGAAAATCTTTGTATAATAGTCTGTTACATAGAAACCTGTCTATATAAGTTTTTTTCTGCAAAAAATGGACATTTATAGTAGTTTTCACTATTTTAATATTAGCACAATATTGTGTGGCAACTCTTTTCAATTTGCCATAAGAATTTAAAATAGTGGCATCTCCATTCAATTTGGTGAAATTATGTTCTGAAATATATGTGTGATTCTAATCTTTATCAGCGGCTACGTTTAAGCCGCCTTAGCTTTTGAGCCAAAAGAAGGCGGCGGCGGCGCGGCTTGCAAAATATTACCGGCGGCCAGTCGCCGCCGATTTGAGCCGTCTCGGCTTGTATCTCTGCTGCAGACCTTGTGATCATTTCCGGGAAATTAACAAAAGAAATGTCAAAACTAAATTTTCTAAATTCACCTGATATAAAAATAAGTGAAACTTGTTGTATTTACATTCTTTTATAATTCTGTTTTAAAAATCATTGCAATGAACTTTGCAAAAACATAATAGTCACAATGATTTGTATGGCAACTGAGAGTGTTTAATAGCCATAATAAAAATTAGAAGACAATCTGTTGCAAATGGTTGTCTACATTCATATCTGAACATAAGGAACCAGTTAAATGACTACTATTTATGATGGCTACTCACAAAAACTTCTAAATGGCAGCAATTAAACAGGACATTAACGTACGGCCGAACAAGTTATTTTACTTAAAAGAACTCTACAATCAGTTCTAGCCGAATATATGTATATTTATTATTACTCCCCTTATTCATGCACCGATCAAGATTCGGCTGAACACTAGTAAAATTTAATTGGCGCCCCATGAATTCAAAAATGAAAACTAAAACTTTTGCAACAATCATTAACAACTAAAACGATGAAGCAGTAGATGAAAAAAGCAACTTAAAAACTGTTTAACAAAAATAGTAAAACAGTTTGTGTTCATCGAAAAATGTTTGATGATGCTGGGTGCTGAAAGATAATATTTCTTCTACATTATTTGTTCTTTTCGCAGTTTTTTTCATTTATAATTTTTTGCTGCTTTATGCAACACCAACTTCAACTAAAAACTATCGTTAAAAGTAGCGCTGTAGAATAGTTGTTGAATTAAAAAAAATAATTTAGGAATAACCACGATATGAATACTTTAGTTCTTGTACCGAAGTCAAACTAGCAGTATATTAACAGACATTAAGAAACATCTTACAAATTACAATTTTAATTGGCCACTCAAATAAAATGCTAAAAATGAAACCAACGACGAATCTTTACAAAGAATGAAAACAGATTCTTTTCATGACTAGAAAAAAGAAATAAATGTATATATAAGATGAAAAAAAAAATAACTCAGAGTAATGAAAAATCATGTATTAAAGTAGCCTTGAATATTAATTTCGTTTCTTTAAATCAATTTTAAGCACATACCACGTTGGATATTCTCAAACATCGATGGAAATTTAAAAATGGGTTATATTTTGTACAGGTTCATTATTAAGATTTGCGCATTATTTTAAGAAATTTGTAGTAAATGTTGGTCGGGAATTGTCAGTTTCAGTTTGACTGAAATTCTATTCGCTTGGGTCCTTCTCTCTAGAATCCTTCAAGTATATTCAAGGATTGAGCGTATGGGATAGAAACCGATAAACAAAAGCGATATAACCACAATTTTTCGGTTGTGGTTTCAAAATCAAAATTTCCGAATATCTGGATAATGCAATGATCCTTTTTTGATCCAATTTTGTCCAGTAAGATATCTTGGGATTTCCAAAGATCGACTCTGCTATCCATAAGAAGAATAATGATCTCATCAGCCATGGTACTATCAGACGGACCTTATAAAACCTGCACTAACTTAGTCCAAGCTTTAATAGAACTGTTATATCAAAAATGAAATAGAAATCTGCAATCATTGTCCTTCGACATGATCTTAGGGCGCGAGAATTATATCGCAAGAGCACGGATATTTATATCTACCGTGTTACTGCTCTTAAGGTTCCCAACTCAAAGAAATGTCTTCTTAATTGCATTTACTCAGACAACACTTTGTCAACTTGATATGTTGAAGGGAAGTTAAACTGGAAAAATATGTTCAATAAACTGTCGTCCTTAAATATAGGATTTTGTTGGTTTTTAAAGCTATGTTAACGATGGTTCAAACACTAAAATTACTAAGTTGATCCTGGGAAACCCCTCCAAACCTACTATATAGGAAGTTGGAGTCCCGGAGCATTTTTTATTTCCAACAGTTAAAAGTTTAAGAGTTTCAATGGTTTCCACCCGTTAAAAACATAACCTCACTTTGAGGTAAAATGAAAGAACATGATAATGTAGGCAACGCATAACTTTTAACAGTTATACGAAATAATATCACTGTTATCGAGGCGCAGATCAATTCTTATGGCAGACCTGAATTGCGACTTGAACAAAATAATATTCAATGGACGAGATATCAATAATTTAAATGGCCTGGTCCTTTTTTAACGTAAAAGTCCTGGACACTATATGCTCTAGGCCGGATACTAGCATTATGTCAGATCGTATGACCTTCCCACAGAATATTCAACACTTTTATATAATATTCAACTAAAGCACAAACTATGATATCATGGTGTCACAAATCTAATTAATTTTGTCAGAGGTAGCGGTCGATAACACATGCCAAAAGAATTTGAAAAAAATAGACAACCAGAGACCAAGGATTGATCAGCGCTGAATCCGAATCTGTCCTCAGATCCACTTCATCTGTTTTTTTTTTTTTTTGATATATCATGAAGTAAACTTGAAAAGGGCGTCTTCGCTCTGTTATAAAGTCTCAAAAATTGTCAAAAATGGGGTTTTGTCAAAGTTTATGACACGATATCTATATAAACGCATTCAACCCTGCTCAGTCGTTTAGAAAAGTTAAAAATTTTTTGGCCTGTGTAATTGCGAACGTATCATAAAACCTAAACTGGCTCAGCTTAGCTAGATTCATTTATGTGTGATAAAAGTCGATACCTAAAGGCATTACTGAACGATCTATTCAAATTTCTTAAACTATTTATAAATTTGTTCAGATTTTGTAGATCAAAATTTTTATTGTTTACAAGGTGACAACCCATCTATAATCATCGATCCTTTTCCCAAGAAGCAGTTTATGCAAAATACTCCTACATACCCTAATTAAACTTCCCCAACTGTATGTTCACACATGAAGTACGTGTTTTAGTAGTTGGTTTTAGAATAGAATAATGTAAATGCTTTAAATGGGATGACTACTCATAGACACGCACGCACTATAGTCTCTGCATCATCTTGTATCACACGGAATGGGTATGAATGTTTCACTATTGGGGTTCTATATGACACTTGTTGTTGATGATGTTTAAGTTGGCGGTGGTGTTGAAGTTTGTAGCAAATGCTTAATGGTAGTTTACCTTAGAAGTGTTGCTCACAATACTTAGTATGAATGTTGAAAAGAACCTTGACTTATTTATGTGTTAAAGGAAAAAAAATAATAAAGAAAAGCTTCATGTAGCTTTAGTAAGTTCTATCTAAAAATAGATATTTGTTTTAAAAGTAACCTTTTGTGGTTCTTAAAGAAATTGGTAGCCAGTCGACTGCACAATGGGTTGAATAGTTATATACTATGATATATTTTTAAGCATAAAAATATTTAAAGAAATATAAAAGTTCACGGTTTATTTTGATTATTCTTAAAATATGTTGATTTAATTTAATTCCTAAAAATTTAAAAGTTAAGGCCTTTACATATACTTTTTTAAAAAAAGTAATAAATTTTATGCTGCATGCAATATAATTCCTCACATGAAGCTTTAATATAAATATTACTATAGCTTTTGTTTGTTATTTTCAAAAGGCAAACAGTCAGAGGTGAGTTGATTATTGCCCTTAAGTGCTCCCATAAATTCTTATGACAATTGATGGTTATCGGTGAAAAGGTTTAATTAAAATTTGTTACACCACTACGTCAATAAAATTGAAAAACCATATTTTATGGACCGTAACATTAACAGAAAGGATGCAAGTACAAACACACGTAGAAACAACAGCTTAAGGGTTGAAACGTTACTTATTAGCATTTTAAAACAAAGAAGATTAATTGAAAAAGCTAAATAAACCTGCAACATGCTAAAAGAAATAACCCCTTTTCCTGTGAAGGATTTTATATAGAGAAGATGGTTTGGAACATTAAGTAAATTTCTTTGACTTACTAGAAGGTTCCACCATAACTCTGGAGAATTTTATATAATCCGATACTTCGGCCTATTCTCAGCAAAAACTTACATTGAAAACTAATGTCTTAAATGGACCGATTTCGCTGATTTTAAATAGGAAACTTCTCCAAATCATGTCCGATAGAATTATTGAAGACTTGGATCCGGATGATAACTGGGGTCTTAAGAAAATCGATTTCAACAAACATAGAGATCAATCCCGCTATCTTCAAGGATCCTGAATATACACACTTTATGGGATCGGAAAATTATATAAATTGTATAAAACGGAATCACAAACCCTTCTCATCTCATCCGGGACATGCTACCTTAATAAACATCCATCATCTTGATGTAATTGCAATCAGGGCAAAGAGTGGCGCTACCAGTACCTCTAGTCTACCGGGACTATAATCTCGAGGTGGCAGAGAGCCAGGGCAGAGTTTTTAACTTTCGGTTATTGGAGAGGGTTGCGCGTAGTGACTGTGGTTTAAATCCAAACTGATACACGGTGAAATCTATATTTCTGGAACAGAAAAAGACAACAGATACTCCGCAGAGGAGTGGAGCTAAGCGTTGGTATTAAATCTATATGATACGTGATGGATAAAGGGGTATGCTGGCCTCAACCGCCCGTAAACTTCAAATGATGGATTTAAGGTATCTTATAAAAGTGAGGGTTCAGGGTTTACTCAGTTCATACCAGAGTTACCACAGTGTGTTCTCTCTGAGTAAGAACTTGTATTTGGCTTATTTGATTTGGTTTTCGTATTTCGGTCTAACGATTATGTGTCTAGATGCTGATGCCGAGGCCACCCTATATGAGTAGTTATAAAGGGAAGTGATATTTTTGAATCTCTGAAGTATTATTCAGAGATTAGATAGTGTGAGCACTTGTACAAAGTGTTTGTATATGGATCGGCGGAACTATGTACGAAAATTGCCACCAGCGTATTCTCTGCAAGGCACAAAGGGGCGGCGATGAGTCGCCTAACAGCTCAGCCTGTGTAAAATTACCACTGTGTAATAAGGCCTGCAAAGCTTTTCGTCTTATACCCTTCTCACGAAGATGAATTATATTTCATTCTTACTCTTCTTTATGTTCGATTTTGATTGTAGTTGAGAGGTCAGTAACCATTTATTTACCAAAGGGACAGATTTAATTGACACAAATTTTCCTCCGGATTTTTATATTAATCCCATTTTACTACCTTTTTACCCCTTAACCACTTACACATAAATAAAATCTAACAAGCTTTCTTTGTTCTTTTTTGTATTCTCATTCTTTGTTTTAGGTCTCATTCCCATTTAATTCAAATGGCAAACCAGGACGTATCTATCATTGGAATTTACCGGTCATTAAAAAGATGCTCGAAGATAAACAACGTTTTCCCAACGTTGCCAATATCGAACCGAATAAAGTCGAAGAATTGATTGATATAAAAAATATACCAACATGGTCAAAACCATGGGAAAATGATTCGATTGAAAAATCCTACAATCAAGATTCAATGATGAGCTATAAAAAATCTCTTAAACGTAAATCACCAACGTATTATGCACCAGCCAGTGCGGTCAATAAAAACAGTTTTAATAAATACTTTTCGGGTAATGGCAAACCTAAAGGATTTTATGTCATAAAAGAGAATCAAAAGAAACCATCATACTATAAAAATATTGTAGCGTAAAAGAAAGAGAAAACAAAGAGGAGAATATTAAAAAAATTAAAGACAAAAAGTGAGAAGATTGTCTACGAAAGCAAAAGGTAAAATAAAACAGGTTAAATTAATATTAATAATATTGGACTTATATCATAATCTTAAAGAAAACAAACAAAAGCCATATTAATAAAACGATTTTTTTTCTTTTGCAAAAGAACAAACACACAATGTAATGTGTAGGTAATAATGATAGACATTATATTAATTGCAAAATATACATACATCCTAAATTTTATAACTCAAGCATAAAGTAAAACTTTAGACTTATCAAAAGACTAATAAAACTAAAAACATAAATAAACAAAAAAAATAATAAAAGAAACAAATTATATACAAAAACATTTTATACTTTTATATAATGTAAACTGTTGTTTAAGGATCACTTTCACAAGATTTGGTTTAACTAAACTTAACTGAATGCATAAGCTCAACAGTTTAAAGATTAAGCGAATAGGGACATAAATTTATATATATTTTTTTTAATTTTAATGGTGTGCACCCTCTACTGCCATTTTTTATTTCGAAAATCAACTTTTATTGAAATATTGTGAAACTGAACCTTAACAATTAAAATTAATCGATTTACATAAAATTTAATGGCTTTTTCATATCGAAATGTCGAAATTAAAATACATAATATATATTTTTATAATCGTACTATCTCTCTCACACACTCAAAATGGATACAATAATAAAAAAAAAACATAAATTTAAATGCAGACAAATATTGTAATGGTAGTAATTTTTAGTAATAATTTGTTTAGTATTTTAAGTCATTAAAAAATTTTTTATATTTGTTTAAATGAAAAGTTTATTAAGGAAGTTTACATCAGAACAGAAACCTATATAATAAAGAAATCATATTAATCGTTAGCATTATTGCCACATAATCCTAAATCCTAATTACTAAAATACACTTACATATTCAAAATAAAAACATGAGATATTACCCTGCTCCCGTTTTGATAATTTTCTAAAAACTATCCGATACCCATCATTAGACATCGGTGCTCCACAGTAATCCATTTAGACATCAACTTATTACTGATTAACATGAGCAGGATGAGTGGCCCTATCTGAATGAGCCCTATCTGAGTGGACACACAGGATTGCGGGTACAACTATACATAATTGTACGAATGGATTTAGACGCATGTAGAGCATTTAAAGAGATGAACTCTGGAAGTTTTCATACAAATCGGATCCAATCAATATCTTGAAAGCTACGTTATACCACATATTACATCCCTAAGGAACACTAATTTGAAAATTATAGTAAAAGATCGCACAACAGGGCCGTTAGAGACCTAGATGTATTTATTTGGAAAAACGTCATGTTAGGCCACAACTTTTAACTGCATAAGAGGTCTTAAAGTGTCAAAAAAAAGGAGAATTTTAGGCTCTTCTTTGATCACATAAAATTTGACACATCATGATCATGACGATCAAGTCCTTTTTATCATCAACAAAAGATATTCGTGATAAATTTTATACGATTATTTGTTAATGATTTGTGTGCGTTTAAGCGTTTTTCGGAAGTGGACCTTTTATAGAAGTTATGACTAATGTTGGGTCGATCCGAAATATTTTTTATATCTACAAAGCATTTTAGTTTTGAATATTGTTCTAATACAGTTAATGAACTTCATTAATTTAATTGATTTCCTGAAGTGGGACTTATATGAGAGTTATGGTCAATTATGAAACGATCCAGGTTTTAGTTGATAAAAGATTTATGCATACATATGTATATGCAAAACTGCAAAATACCGATATTCTAGAGTGAATTATAACCAATAAATTCATTTTCCATAAATTTCCCGAATAGTTTGTACGATGTATGCGTTAAGAACGAACTGTGGTATAATATGTACATTGAGGAACGGAAAGACGTTATCAGAGTAAATAGGCTCCAGTGATATTTGCCGACTACTACTGGGCGATCAAAATGGACCAATTTAAACCCAACAATATAAAAAATCATGGATTTTTCATTTACATATACAATTTATATATACTGAAAAAATTCTAATGATGATTTAAATTAAAATTGCATTTTGTGCCCCTACTATGGACTATATATTTTAAAGAAAAATATGTTGGAATCAGTACTTACCAATAAGTAATCAAGAGATTATAAGATCTGAAAATAAAAAAAATATTTTTTATTAAATTTAGAGTTTGTCAGATATACAGAGTCAATTTACTTTAGCTTAAGACTTGTAAACAGAGTAAAATAGTGGGTTTTAAATATAATCCCTCGATATATCGCAAACTCTGTTTTAAGATATATTAACACAAGATATTATATTAAAACTTTATAAACTTCCCAAAATTACTTTAACAAGTAATAATCTTAAAATTTCGGTATATTTTATAATTAAAAACCGTCCAATAATTTAAAAAGTCAATAACCTCATTAATAAACTTTTCAATTAAATAAATATAAATATTTCTTAAAACATTGAAAATAATAATATAATTATTAATATTTAATAACGAAAATGTTTATGTTACTTGAAATTAATATTAAGTAAATTTTGTTTTATTTTTATACATATAAAATTCATTTATACTCATAAATATGTTTATTCAGTTTATTATGTTAAGAAAGAAAACAACAGAATTTTTTAATAAAAATAAAATTATTAAAATAAAAATTAAATACAGAATTTGTAACAAACTATTTGGACTGATAACATTAATAAATCAACAACTTTTTCAATAAATCAAAAAAACGAAAAAAAAATCAAATCATTTTGTTTTATTTATAAAGATTACTTTTTAATATATTTTTAAGGTGGGTATGATTGAAGTGAAATGTAAGAGAATGTATTCTAAAATCATTACGTTGTGATTTGGCGGAATTTGTTTAAATTGTTTATAAATGCTAAAATTAAGATAAGTTTCTTATCAGGAATCCAGCAATTACCAAAAAAGTATTGAAAAAGCCCATTTTTAGTTTTTTGGCTATATCCATAACAGGACCTGGATTATTGAAGAAATTCTAAAAATGATTAAGAACTTATCGGACCATCTAAAGTATGTACATTGTACATAGCTTTATTTTGATATTGACTTTGTGATTTTAGAATTTTTGCTCTAAAATTGAGTTTTATATAAAAAATTGTTATTTTTGGATGGATCTGGTACCTTTAGTATCGAAAATTTGGAAAACTGTTTTCACTCAAAATATTACTTGTAATCTTAGAATTTCAAAAAGTATTAATACATTAAACATCTTCTTGAAAATTTCTTAGATAGCTTAAAAACTAAAAAACAACTTGTTTTGTAAAGGTTGCTTTGTATGGAGGCTGGGGCCAAATGAAGCCCAAAATCAGCCAAAAATCCGCACAGTTATCAGTTCAAAAAAATATTTATTCCGATTTTATTCAAATAGAGATACATATTATGTATATTTAACAAAAGCATATTTGGGTTCTGTTATACGGAACTAGGTGAAATAATGGACCGATTCTAACCATTTTCAATAGGCTTCGTCCTTCACCAGAACATAGTGTTAGCCAATTTTTATCGAATTATCTTTAGAATTCGATGTACAGCCACCCAGACGGACAGACATGATTTTGAGCCAATTGGTATACGAATATTTATATGCATAATTTGGGGACATTTCATTCAAATTGAAATTACAGATTTATTTTCCTCTTTTGTGGTGATATAAATAAAAATTTAAAAATTTCTCGAACAATTTAAAATTTCGATAAAAATTCGGATCGTATTATACCACTTGGCTTAAATTTATAAGGCTAAAAGGCATTAAAAAAAATATTTGTACAAAATGAACGTCGAATGGTTAGAAGTTTATATCTCTTTACAAGAAATTATACATAGGACATATTACTAAAATGACATTTGAGATGATATCACATTTCAAAAGTAAGGATTGAACCATCAGAATTTAAACATCATATCAGGTTTTCGAGATATCCTTTCATTAAGTTTAAAAAAGGCAACGTTTTTTGTCACATTTGAGACGTTGTACCAGCGTGAATACACCTTTATTTATAAAATTTGCTATGTCTTCTGAGAGTCCGATCTTTCGATCTTCATCTTTCTTCTATAATATATGAGTAATTTCTCAAAAAATCGATTTTGACGAAATTTGTACCAAGTTTAGTACTATTGGTTAGTAGGTCTGAAACAAAATTTCAGTTCTATCGGTCAAAAACTGCCGGACTTAGAGGGGGTCAAAGTTGTACATTTTGGTCATACAGGGTTTAATTCAAATGAGTGTAACTTTTCATCCATTGGTTCTAGCAAAAATTGTCCAATGGAGTTCAGATAGCTATTTCTTCAAAGCTTAGACCATTTCCTTTAAGAGCTTTGTGGTTACTTATTGCAAGGAGCTTATATTCTGAACTGCTTTTGACAATTTTTGCTAGGACCAATAGGTGAAAAGTTACACTCATTTGAATAAAACCCTATATGACCACAATGTTTAACTTTGACCTAAGTTCGCCCGTTCTTGGTCAATAGAGCCTATTATCTCATAATACTAACCTTGGTGCAAATTTCATCCAAATCGGAAGACATCGATTTTAAAAGTTGGGTTACTTGACACGAAATTCCCCATATATTAACTTACAAGTTTGAATCAACTCGCGCTGTTATGACTTCACAAATATAGCCAAAAACGTTTTTACCAACACAGTATCATTTCAAAATTTTAGAAAGTATACATATTTTGATCTCCCTTTTTTTCTTTATAATTTTGATGACCTATGTAATTTATATAAACATTTCTCTAAAATATATTGACTAAACTTTATATCAATACATTATAGCGTTCATTACTTCAAACAACTGCCTTTTATCATCCACACAAGCCATCAAACTTTTAAATCATTTTTATTCTTTATTCTTCATAACGATATTGACATGACTGAAAGACCACCACACTTCAAGGTAAGTAAGCTAACGACAACAAAACCCAAAAATAAACTTATTCATAAACGTTTATTTAGAATGAAGTCGAATACAAAAAAATGGAAATAAATAACAAAAAAATGCACCCAGGAGTATTTATGTACATTTTACTCTTACCGAAGGAGTAAACGTTTCATACAAAAATGAAATTTGTAGGAACACAGCATACGAGTAGATTGGAGGAACATACCTTATACACACATACTCTTATATGAGTAAGTAATGCCTTTAGGTATGTCAAGTTAAACTCATATCAGGATATTACAATGTCTGGTATGTGTTCTTTGTGGTCTTCCAGCCAATTTTTTATTGGTATTTTCTAAAGTTTCATTTTGATTCTTTTCTTTGGATTTTTTTTTTGTTCACTTTATTCCACCACTTCCTTCGTACGAGAATGTTTATAAATCAAAAAAGATGTTTGTTTTTTTTATTTTCTGGCGAAATATGAAAAAATAAGGAATGTTTTTGTTACGGTTGAATAAACCTTTAAGACGATGATGATTTTTTTAAATGAAAGTGAAAAAATTGAAAATAATTTTGAAATGATTCATACTTTTGTATTGGCGTATAAAGGACATCAAGTTATTTATGAATATAGAAAAAAACGAATGAGTTTTTTTCCAATAGAAAAGAAAAAATATACTATCGATTATGAAAATTTCTTGGCAAATATGTGTATTGTCATAATTTAAAGGCTTTATGTAAAATCAAATGGTTTTATGTTACCTGTTGGGAATTTAAATATTTCTTTTTTTGTCGATAAATAAAGACCATATGTTTCTTGAAGTATGAAAGTATAAGTTATAGTCTATATGTGGAATTATATAAAAAAGGACTTTCGAAAAACTTAATCCTTTAAATTAATGAACGCTCATCCCAGAACATGAATGATATTTTTACCGATATACTAAAAAATTAAGGTTGAACCTGTCGTTTGGTGTTGCCTTACCAGCCTCAAATCATATCTTCAACCTTTCACTAATAAAAGTTGTAATTGTGGCCCTTCCTCAATGAGAAACGCACTAGACACCTTATAAACCGAAGTAGCCGGGATATATCGAGGTCGATAGCAGTAATAACAGGACACTGGGTACTAGGCAGACATTCAAGCCGGCTTGGGCCCCCCTTCATTGAACACTGTCGCAGTTGCAAAGACAGGAAAAAGGAAGAAACGATCTTCCACCTTCTCTGTGAATGCCCTGCTCGAGTCGTGTTGAGAAACTCTTTTCTTGACAGTTACTTCATATGTTACCTTGGTGAAATATCTGGGTCTAAGCTTAATGATATCCTGAGGATACAGGCTGGATCAAATACTATACAATACTACATCTGAGGTCAGGATTTTAAATCGGAACTAAATACCATTCAACAAAATATTTTTTATTTTTCTCGTTTTCATTACATTAATACATACTCGTCGACTGAGAGGTATTCCTACATTCTTAAAAAGACTGTATTCCTCGGGACACTCTAATGTACAGACCGACAGATATAATTGGAATAAGATCGCTTCCAAGAAGTTATTAAGTTATTAGATGTTATTATCCATTATTTTTGAATAAATCAAATTTCTGGCAAAGGTTTCCGTTATCCGATCAGACTAAAACAAGTGTGTTTTAGCCACTAATAAACAAAATAAGACCATTCTGAGCAAAATCGATATTTTTGTTGCCCATATGGAGTTGTCTTGCCCATGTTTTTATTCCGACCTCGTTGCGTCGAACGGTTTTAGTTAGGTTAACTTTCTCGAGTTTTCTTCCTTGGTCTCAACGCCAAAAACAGATAGAGTAGAGACTATAATCAAGCGTTCTGAAACTAGTTTGTTCCTGGAAAATATCTTGAGATATGTATGTTTATGGATTAAGCTATTATAACAACTTTCACATACATACATATTTCTGTACTAATTACATGGTGTCAAAATCGTTAAAAACTTAAATATTCTAAAAATTTGTTTTCCATAGATATCCAAATAATCTCTTATCTACTAAATGTTCGCCAAAATGTATGTTTCATATTGTGCCTCTAAGTTAAACAAAAACAATTTAAAAAAAAAATATTTTCTCTTATCGCAAATTTACATACAACTCTTTACATAAAATATCACTTCATTTTAACTCTGATGGCAGTACGAATGTAATGATATGCGACCACACTAACTAAAATTTACATCTTAATGTGATATTCGCAATAAAATGTTAATTTATTGTTGCCACAGCCAAGTGGTAGATATTTTTTTCTTATGAATGGCCAAAAACATTAAATGAAACCATAAAT